ATCAGCCCAGGCAACAGTGCGAGACTCTGTCTCAAAAAAAAAAAAAAAAAAAGTTCGTCAAAGGCCTTCGGTAAACTCCCACTCATTTCCTTGGTGGAAAAAGCCTTGTGAATGGAGTTGGTCCTACCGGGAGAAGGTCTTTTTGCCTTGAGAACTTGCGGCTACTGGGAAGGCCCACGTATCTGAAGATGGGGAAACCGGGTGGAGAGAAAGAGATGACTGAGCACATATTCATGTGAAACTTTCCCTTCAACCAAACGCACAGCAAATGTTTGCTCCCTAGAAGCCCACAGAGTAGCTGAAGCCATTTCTAGTTGACATCGGCAATCTCCATTCTCTTCATTCCACACTTTGACAACCCGCTCCATGGAGCCATTTGGTTCAGTCCATTTTTTTTTTTTTTTTTAAACATATATAGCATAGTGCTGACGCTTAACGATCCTGTTGACTGAAATATGTTGCAAGCAATATTAGTTCAGGGAAATATCAAAGCATAAAAATATATGGGATAGTGAGAAAGAAAAAGCCATCCAACACCAGTACATTAGAAATTACTCAATCACTTCTGTAAGCATCTAAAACCACTGGCGTCATGTGAAAAAGGGACCAGCACCCCGCCCAGAGCAAACTCAAACTCTGAGTCTATTACCAGTTAAGTCAAGACTTGGTTTCTATTTTTGCAAAGTAATCAGTAACTGAGTCGCTGTGAAATTTCTGGTTGCTCCTTGATCTTGTGTAACATTTATCCAATTATTTAGGTTGTCTAGGTTTAAGGAGGGTTATTATAATAAGAACATCTTTGAGAGACTTTTTCAAGAAAATGGTTCATTGTTAGGGGGAAAAAAAAACTTTCATTTGCCCACAGTAACTAAGGTTTGGTGTCTCTATCAGCAAAAGTTATTGTTGATGATTTCAAACTGGGAAAGTGTAGTTGGGGGAGGCAGTTAGACGTGGAGAGGGAAAAGGCAGAGATCAAGTTAAAAGAGACATTTTTAAACAGTATTTTTTATTAAAAAATAAAATTCTCTCTCACAGGACTGACTACGTCCCACATCAAATCAACTTAAAAAAACCATCGTCTCTCATGGCTCCATGTGAAGAGACACATTCTCCACAGTGCTATATTACCTTGTCTGTGATATTACGGATCCCGGTTAGGAAAAGGATGCATACCACAACAAATCGCGTCCACCTGCGCTGAGAAGTGCCCATTTCTTCAGGCTGAAAATAAGACTGTATTTTCATAAACAAACAGGAAAATGTGATCTATTGCTTCTTTTCTTGGTCCATGCCCTTTGCCTTGCTAAGTCAGTTTTTTGACTGCCTCTGTGTGTGTGTGTGTGTGTGTGTGTGTGTATGTGTGTGCGTGTGTGTGTCCAGAGGCCACTGATCCAGCCCAAGTGTATTTAGAAATGAATTCAGTGTCTCACAAAGGTCTTAGAGGCCACTACTGTGCCTGGGAAATCCATTGAGCTTGGCTTGTTCTCTCTTGCTCTTGCCAACGTGCACTCTGCTTCCATGCAAACACTCCTGAGGAAGATGCCGGTAATCTCTAGTTTATGTACTAATTACACAACCACATCGCCCTTTGGCGACTTAAGGGAAACAAACGTAAAGTGTAGAGTATTTAACTCGGATGTACTTTAGAAAAACTCCAAAGCAGAAAAAGAACCTTCAGCAGCCGTGCGAATAAGGCAGAAAACTTCCACAAGTCAGCAGCATTTCTCTGAACGAAGAGTCCACCCTCACGGCAAGCCAGACAAGAAACCAAAACTGCAAAAATCATTACTTTCCCTACTTACATCGCCAAGCACCTGCAAGACTAAAAAAAGAATGCTATCCAGTTCTGTTCTGAGAAAGCACAGGCCTTTCCAGCAGATGCATTAAGTGAGATAAAAACCTTATGGTTAGAGGAAGAAAAGAAGTTGGGGCCATTACAAATGGAACTTCCAAATAAGCAATGCTTTATTTAAAACTTTAAAAATCAAAGTTTTAAACTTCCCTTTAGAGTCAAGAAGTACTTCAACCCTGTGACCTGGCTTATCAATAACTTTCTTCAAGCACAACAAATTACCGAGCATTACCTAGGCATAAATACTACTGTGTATAAAATGCCAGCAAGTACATTAATTTGGATATTCAGTGACTCTGCTTTATTGACTCAGCTTTATTGACTGGGAGTTCCTGTCTTAACTTCTTGCCACCAGCCTCTGCCTTCTCCCAAGACTGCCACATGTGCAGAGACGTGAGTCATCCCAACCATATCCTACCCCAATCCCACCTGCCCTTTATGACTATTTCCTTTTTAAATTCTCCCTTTATTTCCTTCTGATTATTCTCTTGGAAGCTTTGCTCTTTTGCCATCTCTTAACCAACTCTCCCAAATTATCATTGTTTAAATATTATCTCAATAAACTCCGAGTCATCATTCACAGCCCTTTGGTTTAGTTTAGTTTAGTTGTGTAACCCCAAATACTTTATTAGGTCTAACAGTGGGTCAATCACTTGTTGATACTTGGGACATTTTCACTGCAATGGCATTTGTCATGATGTTTATTTAATTTGTGGTCCCAATCCAAGAAAACATGACCATTTATTTATGCCCTGCTTTATTGCAGGAAAAAACCTAAGGCTGCTTATACTAACAAGATACACACAAAATAACGCAAATTATGGAGAAAGAGAAAACTGGACAAAGCAGAAATTAAAGTAGGGAAGTTAAGATGAAACTAGGAGAGAGGCCAGAATTTAAAGCCTGTGTTATCAGGCCCGCACACAAATACGTACATCAGTGGTTGAAAAATTATGGCCCACTGGCCAAATTTGGCCCACCATCTATTTCTATAAATAAAGTTTTATTAGAACACAGCCACACCTGCTCATTTACATATTCTTTATGGCTGCTTTCAGGCTACAATGGCAGAGTGAGTAGCTGTGACAGACCATATGGCCTGCAAAGCCTGAAAAATTTCCCACACGGAAAAAGTTTGCTAACCCCTGGGTTATATGATTCTGTGCCTAGGAGATTGGAGCAAAGCAATCTCCTAGGGTAAGTACATTCTTTGTATGGTTCTGAAGTGGAAGAGAACTTTCTGCTATAAAGAGCTCACTATGTAATCTAGTGAAAACACATCTTCGACATAGTATTTTGTAGTAAATATAGCTATTGGCTTCACAGGTCAATGGCATGATGTCACAGTGCAAGCCAGTAAAACAATTCTATGAATATGTGAGGCGGAAACAATGCCATTCAGGTACAATTCACTCCTGGTCTGGCTTCATTCACGGACAGTCTCTCCAGATGGCAAATGCCAGTTACACAGGAAGCCCTTCCCTACCCTCCTTCCTTGCCACTAGCAGACATGGCTAATGGATCAAGGTGTTCTCTTCTGCTGAGCCCCGAAGTCATCTCAGAAGTCTTCTCCCCGTTCTCTGGCAGCTTCAGCCAGTCATTAGTAGTTGGCATGCAAGATAAAACCAATATACCATATTTGCGGTAAGGCAATTTTCCATGAACACTCTCTTGCCTGGGGGTGGCAAGACTGAGGTTATACTCTCCACAGAGCTCCTGAAGCACAGCTATTCCATTTTGTCCCAGTGCAGAGCTGTCCCCTTTTATGGTCATCCCTGTGAGAGGACTGGATTGCCTTCCCCCTGTGAGAATGGAAGCCTGGCAAGGACGGCCGCCTGGAGCAATGCTCCCAGCACACCTGCACACGTGTGGGCCAAGGCGCTGCCTGAGGGCAGGACCAGGAGGCTTCTGCAGAAAAGTGCTTAGATCTGTTCCTCTGCACAGACTGACAGGGGTCAGGGCCATAGACAATGGCACAGGCATTTTGCCTAGGGAGATTCAAGCCCAATACTCACATTATTTATTCAAAGAAACAAAGTCCCCAACCAGCATCACCCAGGCCCACTCATCTTGTCATTCATATCTTCCTAAAGAACTTCCCAAGAGACAAGAGTTCGAAGATAAATGCAAGTAAACTGGAAAAGGTGATTTTTAAGAAACTACAATTCAGTTAAACATTGATGACAAAACAGCCAACTATGAATCTAGAAGAATATACAGGTAGCCTTTCTCTGTGTCTGCTCCTTCCTGTGACAATAAAACTATGTCCTGAATTGATTAGATTTCTAGTGGAACAAAAATTTTAGCTATCTAAAAGAAGTATTTAAAATGCAAATTTAAAAGAATTAGAATTATTCTTATTTTGTCATACTAGAAATGGCTACTTAATCTATATCTGACTCTTATGCATGTTGTCAAAGAAAGAGAAAAAGACAAAATACATGGAAAATCTTACAGTATCCCCAACAGATCTTTCCACAAAGTGACTAAAAGTATCAAGCCAGCAAATAAGTAGAATATCCATGCCTCAAACTCTTCTTCTCCTTATGGGTTTGTGGTTGTGTTCTAGCAAACACCACCTACAAATAAGTGAAACCTGACTATATTCAGCAGAGTTAATACAGCCAACAAACAAGATAGATCAATGAAAGAAATGTCTCATCCTCCTAAAAAGACCAAAACTACCAAATTTTGCCATTTACTTTTCCAGTGCCAATGCTTAGGTTTCAGTTCCAGACCACTTAAGGTCACATCTGTGGACATGAGAATGTGGAAAATTTGGATTCTGTACGGATACCCAATTATGCACCAGATAGAAGCATATAGAATGTCAACGCAGAAAATTCTGGAGAAAAGCCAAAGCCTCTCCATGTCAGGAAAGAAGCGATCGCCACTTCTCCAAGCAGTTACGCAATCTCCCGTGTCCTTTGATGTGCACTGAGCCCGAGCTGGAGATCAGGATTGAGTGAGACGTTTCACGGCATCACCTGAAAAGCCTCTTTCACAACACTTGAGGCCTTTAGTGTTTGTGTTTCCACAAAACTGCCATCCCAAACAAGCAGCATGCATAGTATCTTCCCCAGAACCTCCCAGGCAATCATACTTTTGCTAAAGTCTTTCAAGACTAGTCGTGAAGGCTCCTACTTACGTAATGCATACAAGGTGAGAATTATTCCAGCCAGGCAAAATCCTTCAAAGAACCTGAGTGTGCTGAACATTGTCACATTCACTGACAGTGCCACAGTCAGTCCAAAGATCAGAATGAAGATGATGGAAAACAGCAGCACAGGCCGCCGGCCGACCCTGCATATGGAGAGGGAAAAAGTTAGGAATCATTGTGAAACAAGACAGTGATGCTAGATGCTGAAACCCAGTCTCCAGCAGGTACTCAATATATGCTGAATGAGTACTGGCCAAAAAGTCCTGTGCCATCTATACCCACTTCACTAGATCCTAGACTACTAGGGGTAGAAAGGGAGATTTAGCCCAACCCCCTAATTCTCGAGCTAAGGGAGCAGGGATCAACCAACTACAGAGTAAGAGAATTCACACTTGAGCCCAATTCCTGTTGCTGAGTCTATTTCTGAGTGTATAGTGATATAATTCAAGGCAAGAGGAACAAAATTAATAACTTTCCAAACAGGAACCTTGATACACCCAGCATAAAAAGTCTTGAGAAATCGTTGACCTTTGGGATTGGATCAAAAGTCAACATGGTCACCAAGCAAAGCGGCTTTGTTTCCTCTCCCCAGGTTGTTAACTAAGTCAGATACCTGATCCTACACACAGCCTATCCGAGCCAGGGCCAAGCCATCTGCCAATTTGTTTCAGCTACAAGACGAGAAGTAATTTTTAAGGGATCACACACTAAGGTAAGATAGCGTGAACATTTAAATGCCCAATGACCTGACAGTGAGCTGACAGTGCAGTCCCTTGGCTAGACTGAGGGGCAGGGAGTCTAGGCTGTGATGGTTCTCTGGAAAGGGCCACAGACACCCTCAATTCGTGGGTCCTGGAGCTGGCCAGTTCCAGATCAGTGACCACTAGGGGGCAATGTGCTTCTCGAGTGCCTGGGAGGACAATAGAGGGTGGTCCACAAGAATGGGGAAGTCACCAGTTCCTGTGGCCCCATGCTAACTTTCCATCTTTCCTTCATTAACCGATTAGAAATAAAGTGGCAACAATAACTCTCCATCAAACACGATTGGCTTGGTCTAAAGGATAACTCAGAGAAATGGAGGCAGAGTGGATGCTATTTGCCAGGAGAAAAAAGGGGGAAAAATCCAGACCTAGTGTCCACAATACCACAAAGGGTAGCTGAGGGGCTCGAACTGTCCTAGATGTGTTTATTACAAGGCATCTACATGCAAGTAAAATGTCCAGAAAGTACAAATATACAGAAACAGAAAGTAGATTTGTGGTTGTCCAGGACTGGGGGGTGATGTTTCTATCATCCTTTAAGGGGATGGGAATGTGTTACATTCAGAGTGTGGTGATGGCTGTACAACTCAGCAAATATACTAAAACTCATTCAATTGTGCACTTAAAATGGGTGGGTTTTATGGGATGCAAATTATATGTCAATAAAACTGTTAAAAAAAAAAATGGTCAGGCATGGCCTTACCCTATAGAGATAGATGTAATTTTAAGAAAATACAGGGAAAGGAACAACAGGATGAAATTACACTCAGAACTTTTAGTTCTAACCATTCCCATCAGTCACTTTGGTTTACTGAAACAAGGTCAAGGCTAGGAGCTCAACGTAAGTTAATAATCTCACCTAGAGATTTTAGCCATTACTTTCCCTTGTCCAGTGCTGGGGTCAGGAAGCCCTTACCAGGAAAGACTGTGAGCTGATTTTGTCCAAATCTAACTCATTTACAAAAATAAATTTAAAACACAGCTTTAGTCATTCTCCTAAAATGAAGAAAAATGAACTAACTCTAACATCTTGCATTACGCTTGACTTCCCTGGTCTATGAAATGGGGATAAGCATCCCAAGTTGTGGAGTGTTGAGATCCTTCACTGGGGGGTTGATGGGCACAGATGCAATGCCTGGCACAAAATAAATAATGAAATGTTTTAGTGCTCATTCCTTCCTGCATTTCTGTATCCCTGATGCCTACCAAACAATGTTTGCTCAGTTCTGATATTTTAGAAAAGATGTTTGATTTTTTTAAGCATGTAGCAACCATTCTAAGTCCCTGGCTCCCAAAAAATGGTTGCTAAAATCAACAAGTAAAACTTATCAAGGTCTACAGGGCAAACACGGTCTTTGAAGCCAGGGGCGTGCTGGTTCTGAATCCAGGATCAGTACTTCTGAACTATGTGATCTGGAGTAAGGCTGGGCTTGTTCAAATGAGCCTAGAGTTCCCTTTGGTAAGGGCCAATTAATGTCTACTTCATAATGTTGTCGACAGGAGTGAATATGAACAAATGCCTCAGCAAGCGTTCAACACATGTTAGTTACAAGTATGGACAGTTTTCCTAGGAACTGGCTCCCAGGACAGAACCCTCTCAGAGAGGACTGATAAAGCCACAGTCCTTGTCTGTAATGCAGAGGACTTTGTCACTTAGGATCTGTGGTGGGCAGAACAACGGTCATCAAATCTGTCCATGTCCTAATCCTCAGAACCTGTGAGTATTTTACCTTTCATGGCAAAAGGAATTCTGAAGATGAGATCAAGCTTAAGGACCCTGAGATGAGGTGACTTTCCAGGTAGGTCCAATCTAATGACAAGGAAAACCTCCCCTGGCTCCAGGGAAGCAGAGACATAGCAGTGTGAGAAGGACTTGACTTGACGTTGCTGGCTCTGAAGATGGAGGATGGGGCCGTGAGCCATGGAATGCAGGTGGCCTTTAGAAGCTAGAAAAACCAGGGAAGCAGATGGTCTCCTAGATCTTGTAAAAAGGAACGCTGCCCTGCTGACACCCTGACTTTAGACCAGTCAGACCTTTGTTGGACTTGTGAACTGCAGAACTGTAAGATCACTCATTTGGGGTGTGGAAACCGCCAAGCATGCAGTGATTTGTAACAGTAGCCATAGAGAACTGACACAGGGTCTCAACAGGGAACAGGGGTCCCACTCAAATGAAGTGACTGGAGGAAATTTTAATAAAGGGATTATTTACAGAAGAGTGAACAAGCTGAGAGGGAACCCACAAGAGATGGTGTTGGACCTTGTGGCTCTTGGCAGCCGGAAGTAGGGGATGGATGGTCCTAGCCCCAGAGAGAAAGAGGTGCTGTGTGGAGGTCACGGACAGGAGGTGGCTGGCTCCTCCAGCCTGGCAGAGAGCAAGCTGGGCATAAAAGTGCCTGACCTCACTCTCCTCTCCCCTGAGGATCTACAGCTGGTGCTCCCCACACTGGCCACACTCGGCCAGGAGCTGGCAGGCAAGGGGTCCTCTGGGGAAGCTCATACTGGCCAGCATCCCAGGGCGGGCTGGGGAAGGAGGCAGAGGGCTGCTGCAGTGACAAACACAGCAAAGAAGGGAGCACATCCCTGGGGCCACTGGCCATCGGCCCTCCTACCCACCTGAGCTAGCGGATTCTATACCAATACCCAGTGAACATCCTCAGACAAAACTTGGTGTCAGAAACAGTAACTTTTTAAATAAAGAAGTGTACTACTTAAATGTTACTAAATGCTGACTGCAGCCCCAGGAAGCGTATTGTATGACCTGATCCACTTCCCCTGCAGCCATGAAACAGGGCCCACAGCCGAGAGGTCTGGAGTTCCCTTTAAATGGGTTTATTTCCTTTTAAGCAAGGCTCAGGCAGGGAGTAAAATGCCAGAAAACGGGGTTGGAAAATACCAAGCTTTCAAACTGAAAGGGAAGCCCACTCAAAGTGTTCAAAAACTACCACTCAGACAGCCTGCCCCTGATTCCCAGGGCACCCCCTCAATCTTGCCCATCTGAGGAGGACCCTCAGAAAAGCAATTGCAGAGAAACGGTTTGCGATGTCAGACTTCTGGTTACTCTAAGAGCGAGACCCACACTCTTTTGTCCTCAGGCCTGGTGTGTGATCAGGGAGGTCACACCACACGTGTGTACAAGAAGAAAGTTAAGAAAACAACCTTGAAACAATTTAAACTATTGCAGACTGGTTCATCCATAAAAGTCGATTTTTACTTTTCTATTAAATCATTTATTGAATAAGGGCACTACAACCCCAGTCGAGTCTGCATTTTTTTAGAAAGACAGTGACAGGGATTATATTAGTATATTTTTCTAACCTATTTCAATGTAGATTTCTGGGAAACGGTATATTTTAGACCAATATAGCTCACACTAGAAACCTATGAACTCAAGTATTCGGTTTAAAAAATAAACCCTGTGTTGCCTCTACCAAAGAAAGCCCCCAAGGGGTTCCCTGCATAGGTCTCCAGAGGTCACTGACTGCTTCTCTGTTGTTGTCCACAGAGACCGTGTCCATGAGAAGCGCTTGCAAATGACGAGGAGGCAGATGTCAAGCACACAGGAAATCACGTTACATGTCAGCTCAAGGAACTCCCAAATAGACGCTAGGTTTTGGAGGAAATTTTCCACATGTGTAATGTGACCCTCTGCTGCTGTCCACCCAGGCACTTGCCTTGGCCAGCATTCTCAGTTAACTGAGGGGCAGAGGTCACAGAACCTATAGAATTTGTTCCATATCACTCTGGGCCCTTATTTCATCCAGGCCAAGAAGTCCCAATTCACACACACACACACACACACACACACACACACACACACACACACACACACAAAAGAATCCTTTAAAGATAAAAAGATAAAAGAATGTAAGCTGGGGAGACAGTTACGCTACGCCTCTCTCCCGAGCAGTCCCGCTACTTGAAAAACCTGTCAACATTGTGCAACTGCCTCCCGCTTAGACACATCGCCACTGCTGCCCCTGTGACCACAGAGTGCCTTAAATAAAAGCGCTGCAGTACCCTGGTGGAGGGGCAGGCTCTGAGGCCACGTGGCTGAGTTTCAAGTCCTGGCCCTCCAGCTTAAAGCTGAGTGAACTTGGAGATTTCACTTACACTTCTGTGCTTTTCCAACTGTAAAACACAGGTAATAATAGCATCTCCTATTAGGGGTGTTGTAAGGAGATGTTAATGTATGGAACTACTTAGCACAGTGCCTGCTACATGGTAATCTTTCAGCTGCTAATGTTATCATTGTTACTGTCTCTGCTACCATCTTTACCTGCAGACCTCTGTCCTACCAACCTCATCCCTTCATCCGGAACTGCTTGCCTTGCTCCGGGTACCCGGACTTCCTCTCCGACCCACACAAAGCACATGCATTCTCACCTCTGGCCACCACCCCGCCCTGCCCATAGACCCCATGTGTGTTACCCAAATGCTCTTTATCACTCAAGGTGCAGCTCCCCGCAGACCCCACAGAGGCATCTCCTGGCCAAGCCAAGGACTGTCCCTCTCTAAAATCTGTATGACATTCAGAGGTGCTAATCAGCACTGCCTGACTCATTCAGCTTGCATGGGGGAAGGGTCTTCAGCTCCCCCAGCCCCTATTTTTTAATGCATCTTCTGCATCCGCCCCTCAGCGCATCGACCCCCTGGAGCCCTGCACATAAGTCTTCAAGCTCTAACTAAACATCAAAGGTTAGAGGTAGATGGGGCTGCAGGCTGGTTTTGCTAGATTCTAGAAGCTAGAGAATTGCTTTGAGTTTAAATGCACACTTCCAAATGATCTGCTACATGCATGGGCCATTTTTCTGAGCTCTGCATTCTCCACGTGGCGGCTTTGGTCTTCTGCTCTGGCACTGGGAAAAGACGGCCACGGTAAGCTAACACTGACTACTTTTCTTTAGCCAGCAAAGGCGTGCTGTGGCCTCCAAAGGTTCGTGCGGCGGGCACGTTGGTACTCACCAGTCAGCAATGCATCCAGTTATTAGGTAGCCAAAGATTAATCCAACCAGTAAGGAGAACTTAGCGATATGGACCTTCCAGGCATTATCACACACAAGATCCCACTAGAGAGGGGCAAATAGAAAATAAATCAGAGAGAAACATACACAGAGCTCGTCGTACTCAATTTTAAGGGCAATACAATAACCCTCTAGGGACCATGGCACCGTTGCCAGTACCATGCCACATACGCCATTCAGAGTCTCTTCCACATTTTTGAAAATCCAATGAGACATATAATTTGCCCACAAAAGGAAATGTAACATTTTAGTCTGGGACAGATTATAAGTCTGCACAGAATGATGCAGGAAGTCTGGGGATGTGTGTTCTTCTGTCCCAACCAACACGGGAAATGTAAACTGAGGCAGAGGTGGGCAGTGACGGAGACCAGGCGTCCCTGAGGACCAGTGGTCCCTCACCATGACGAGCTGCTCCGAGTGCCCAGGGGCTGGGAGACCCTGACGACTTTCTGCATGGGCATCATGATGACATGAGGAGGTTAAAAGTAACTTTTGCATTTTCATCCCAAAACATTCCCCAAACTTTACGAGGAGTCTTAAAAATAAAGGCGAGCATTAGTAGTGAACGTTGAAATATGAACTTTAACTATAATTCCATGTAATTAAATGTAAATATGAAATATAAACATTCTATTTTGCCCTTGGAAATGTCCCTTGCGTTTTCCTATTTCCCCTCTAAAGCCATCTGCTCTACTTGGAGAGAAAGCCGGTCAATTAGTAAATACAACATTCAGACTATTGTACTGTTTGATAAGAAAAATACAAAAAATATTCTCATTTTTCCTTTCTCCACTTGCAGAATCAGGAGAGAAACCCCTGTTTGTTCCCTCTAAGTGATGCGTGTCCAAGTGTGGACTCAAATCCACATGCAGCTGGCATCTGGGCCAGAGGGGCAAATAAGCAGGGTCTCCGCTGGCCAGGTCATGCAGACGCACAGCTGGGGGTCTAGATGTCCTGCTTCTGCTGCAAAGAAGTGGACAAAGTTTCCGGTTCTGGCCTCGCAACTCCAGGTCAGTGGAGACGGGGGTGGGGTGGTGCGGGGAAGCAGCTGAAGAAACGCACGCCAATGCATTTGGGAATGCCAGAGCGGGAGGTGTTCTGGGAGCAGAGGCAGGATTGGAGGGGGGTGGGCACATGGAAGGTAGTGGGCTGACCCCTGATCCTAGTTCTGTCTTCTTAGATGTCTCCCCCGGCCCCTTGTCTCTGTGCGCCCCAGACTGCAGCACAGAGGATCCTTAGAGAGCACTGTAAGCTCAGGCCCTGCCCCGTGTTTCCAAATTTCCAGAGCCTTATCGAGGCCTAGGAGGCCACAGCTGTGGTTCTTAGCGTCCCTAAAATTCAGGAAAAGCCACGCTCTGTGTCAGTGGATGAAGGGAAAGGTGCCCGGCAGGGATAAGTAGAAAAGTACCGTCTGTCACAATGTCCCCACTTCTGCCCTGGACTCCTTGGGACACACACTGGCTTGCCGATGCCCCGACACAGGTATGGCTTTCCAGAGACTTGAGGAGGGTGACTTCTTTTTCTACCCCACCTGCTTCCAGAGTGATTTGCAACGCCAGGCCCAGGAAGAAAGGGAAGACGGGAATGTAAGCACAGACTGCACGAGGGCCTCGTCAATAAAAGACGGCTTGGAATTTGCTGCTGTCAGGGTTTATTCATGAATTTGGGGAGCAGGGCACTGCTGGTTGCACAGATTCTTATTAAGAATTCAGACACAGGAGCTCCTTACAGGGTTAACTTCCTTCCATGATTGCTCCAGTGGTCCTCAAACTGCACTCCAGGGACCAGCAGTGTTAGCACCACGTGGGGACTAGTTAGGAAAGGCAAGTTCCTGGGCCCCATCCCAGGCCCACTGGATGAAAACTCCTGCAGGTAAGCACAGCAATGTGGTTCAGCAAGCCTGCCCCGCGACTCAGAACTACTGGCCGACACTGCCCCGCCATTTTGAAGACAATGAATGAGCTTCACCGTCTTGGGCTGGGGTTCAAACAACTCCCAAGAGCAGGGAGAAGCGAAAACGCCATGGGAACCATGCAAACGACTGGCTGCTGCTGCTCGGCCCTGCAGGGTTGTACAGCTAGGTGATGAGTTAAGTGGGCTTTTGCAGGCAAGCCTGGAAAACGAACATCCACCTATGTATGCTGTTTCTAGGAAAAAATGTATTTTTGATAATAAAAACCTTTCACCACGCAACCTATTTCTAACTTCAGGAATGCAGGTTTTGCCTTAAAATGTGAGTGACAGCTTCATAAATCACAGTGGGTGCACATTCTGTTTTTCCAGCTTGGTTTACACACTCTGGCAGGGGAGGTGCTCACGACACCTGTAACCACTCATCTCCCAGTTGCATCATGCCTTTGGGAGCCTCGGCTGGGCACAGTCTCGGCAGGAGAGGAACACGTCCCGACCCCAGGTTGCTGCCGGGAAGAAGGGCACCAGCTGCTGTCTCAATGGCAGGGAGTCATTTGAAATGCTTTCATGTCTTCACCAAGACTTCCCACTGATGAGTTTACTTGAGGTTAAAGGATGCAAATGAGTATATTATGCTTCTATGAGATGGCCAGGAGGCAGAAAAAATTTTAATAAAGCATTCAGGGGAGTGGAGGAAATTGCCAATACTGTTGTGAGTTCAGCCACCTGAGCAATGACCAGACCTGGCCTCAGCAGCCACGACCCCATTAAGGTGCTAGCTAATAAGATGCTCAGTGGCCAGCCCTATCCATTAGCAGTGCCACAGTGGAAAACGAAGACAGTGGAGGGAGACTGGGCCACTCACACGGCTGGTAGGGAGAGGAAGCCTGGTTAAAAGTATGGCTGGCTCCACAGTTCCCAGCCTGTGGGCTTCCCCCTGGAGAGGGGGACGGGAAACCCAGGGCGAGGCAGTCACCTGCTGCCTTAAACCCTCCTGAACGAGGCACAAGAATAGACAGCATATCTGAAGCAACAAGTAAACCAACTGGATTCCCAGGCCCAGCAAGTTTACCATGATAAGGGTTACTCATGCCTGGGGATCTGCCCGCAACACCACCCTTGCCATCCTGGAGCCACCGCTGTTTAGCAGGGTAGGGTGGGGCTGGGGGAACCCATGGCGCCGACACCTTTGTTTGACTTCTACTTCTGGTATTGACAAAAATGTACCGGGAAAAGAAAATATGTTCAGACACAGTATAATCTCCTAAAGAATTTCAGAAGTATGAGGAAGCTTTGAGGTCACCTGGCTCTTGAAATTTGTTCACATTGCTCTAGATAAGATATGGCAACTGGTCATTTCACTGACCAGTTGGGTAAGCAATGTTTAAAGCAATTTATAATTTTTCAGATTAAAAAAATATATAACAGGAGTAATGTTTTAAAAAGCACAAAACCAGAACTTAATATAATAGGTTTTGTCTCTGACATTACCCTTGTCACCTCCCTCTCCATCAAATCAATCACCAATTCCAGCAGGTTTTACCTTTCAAATATGTCCTGAACATACCATCCATGCTCCACTGCCCCCACAGACACCCCGATTTATAGGGACGGGGTAGGCGCTCACTCATGTGATCCCAGTCTCCTTCTGGTGTGTGCTCCTATAATGCGAGCTGGAAGGCCAAAAACAACACTTCCAGATTCTGGTACACCTACAGTTTCAAATGTGATTTTGGTCCTGCCAATCATGTGCACACCCCAAAATAACTTTCTGTGTGCAACTTTGTTCTAATTTCCGGATGACTTGAGTTAGGAAGAGAGTTAAGAGGGGGAGGAAGGGAGACATCCATTTTGCTGGTCAGATCTGGCAAGGGTTGGGTGGTCTGGGAGCCAGCAGTTCTGGAGGTGGCTAAGGAGGTGTGATCTTGGAACCAGTGGTTGGGACAGTGACTTTCTAATTCTTCAGCCTCCTAATGGAGGCACAGTTCCCTGGACAGGCTAGCTCTCCAGAGTTCTTCCAGGAATCCTTCCAGAGGCCCGTTTACAGTTGCTCTAGCAACTCAGTCAGCACTATTCCCTGTATTCAGTCCCTGTCTCCTGAAATACCAGAGTGGCTTCCGTTCTTTGCAAATTGAACCTTGTTCTCTGGTCAAATTTCCTTGGGATGGAATTCGCAGGGGGTAAGCAGACAAGATAAGGAAAAGTCACCAGCCCTCCTCCCTCTCCTGAACTAATACAAGAGTCTCCCTGCATTAACTCCAATCTCCCTCAAACCCATTCCCTAGAGAACAATGAAAAGCATCCTTTAATTAACCTTGTTAACACCTCATCAGCAGGTTTAACAAGATCATAAAAGCACTAAAGTCATGGCTCCATTTCATAATCTTAGGCTTGCTTGCTTTGTCATTCTTCTAAGACCAGGGACATTCATGATGATGCCATGTGACGCCTCTGAGCCATGACTAAGCGGTGAGACAAATGACTCCCAAGTGTGTCTACCTTTCACACATGTTAGTTGCTCTGTGTTCTGGCAAAATAAGAAAAAAAAAGCAAAACTGCGGAGTCAGAGAAAATCTGGTAGACTCTTTTTGGACCTGTATAGTTTAAGGATAAGCTAAAGAAAATACCATTAATATTATTTTGAAAGGAATAATTGCTTGACTTGTCAGAGTGGAGAAATATTCATCAAGGAAACTCAGAAAATTTCTAAAGAAGATAGAAAATAAATGGCAGATAAAGAAAACAATCTTGTTTTCCACGGTAATGAATTCCATGATAAAATGTAAAACAAGAACATAAAAGAATTGGAAGCAAATAGATTGCTTCTTTAATTTTGAAGTGAAGATAAAATCTCTAAAGAGAAAAACTAGGGAGGAAAAACTACCTAAGGAAACAACTGGTAGATTTTGTAATAGTTTAACGATTACTACTTTACTATTAATTACTATTTTTAAAGTCTACACATCAAAAATACAATAAGCAAAATTATAAAGACCTAAATTTGTAATATATATCCATTTACATATCAATATACACCAATACTGCAACCAGAAATTGAGTTAGCACCCAGATGATTAACCAAATATGAAACACAAATAAACACTTGAGAAATGTTTGATTTCACTAACGAAAAT